TGAGAGACGACTGATTAACATCAAGGTATAATGCATTACAATAGTTAAGTCTAGAGGTTATAAAAGCATGGATTGCAATTTCAAAATCATTAAAAGAATGACTTGACTTTACTTAGTAACCTCAGGTGAAAAAAAACTAGATTTTACAACTGAGTGTATCTACTTGTCAGGATTGGCGCATAAAGCTGCCGATGAAGTCATGGGGTGAACTCAATTATAGAGCCAGACGAGGATAAGTGAAACACTGTCTCTTTAATAAGAGCACTGATAACAAAATGATACAGAAAACTACGTAACTTGAAACACACTCTCAGGTCGTTAATACAGTCCAGGGTCAGAGCCAGCAAACTTACACAGCCGAGGGATCCACAAATGAGAGGTCAGAGAGGGGAGTCTGATAGTCCATACACAGAAAAACAGTCCGAATCAGAAGGGCAAGGCAGTACTCCGTGGTCGCAAGGTATTCCGGGGTCAAAACAGGAAAAACAGGCACAAGAAAAATGCTGGAAATTCTGACATGGGTTAGAACAATCTGGCATTTTCCCAGTGGGGAAAAGCTGACCCGCTCACGGACAGGAACAGGCACGGAGGAGGCGTCAGCAGTCCAGCCTCAAAATAAAAGCACGAAACAGAAGCCAGTAGCACAGAATCATGAGACTTGTCAAACCTTAAGTCACTGTCAAACATTGCCCCACTAGGTTTTTTACAGTCATCTTCAGATGATTAGCCAGGGCTGAGCTTGTGCGTTTTTATGCTTCAGAAAGGACACTTTGGTACGTCCAGGAACAACTGGTTAGAAGACCTAAGTCCAGACAGAAACATTGGGGAGACAGAGCTTTTTCAGTTCGGGCTCCTATACTGTGGAATGGTCTGCCACAGGATATTGGATCTGCTCCGAACCTGACTGTTTTTAGATCACTTCTCAAAATGCATTTGTATTCACTGGCTTTTAACAATTTTACTGATTGATGTATTTGTTTTGATTATGCATTTTTGCTGTTATTTTATTGTGTAGATGTGTTTTATCTGGTTTTATTTATTATTATTTTTATATTTTACTGGAAAGCACCTTGTAATGTAGGTTTAGAAAGGTGCTATATAAATAAATGTTGCTTGCCTCCTTGCAGGGGGCCTAAGTTGTGAGTAAAGGCAGCAAATTTCACCATATCGCCAAATAACACATATTCAGTTTTATCCTCATTTAATTTTAAAAAGTTCTGAGCCAGCCATACTTTCAGGTCTGTCAAACAGTCAAACAGTGGCTGTAGAGACATCCCTCCAGCTGCTTTTAATGGTAAATATATCTGGATGTCTTCTGTATAACAATGAAATGAGAAGTCATATTTCCTTAGAACTTATCCCAGCAGAAGCATGTACAAGGAAAAGAGAGTTGGACCGAGTACAGACCCTTGGGGGGACATCACAGGAGAGTATAGTTGAAGAGGACAACAGTTACCAAAATTAACAGAAAAACCTCTATTCATGAGATAAGATCTAAAACAATTAAGAACAGTACCACAAATTCCTACACACTGGTCCAAGCGAGATATGAGGATTCTATGATCCACAGAACTAGATCCCCAGCATCCCTGGCCAACAAAATGTCATTATTAATTTTTAATAATGCTGACTCAGTACTGTGTTTTGATTTAAACCCAGACAGAAATTGCACCTCAATTCCATTATCTTCCAGAAAAGACTGGAGTTGAATAAGAACAATCTTCTCTAAAACTTTCCACATAGAAGGTAATTTAGACACTGGTCTAAAATTAGAAAACACTGAAGGATCTAGATTTGGCTTTTTAAGAAGTGGCTGGACAATTGCTTTTTTAAAACATCTGGAAGTGAGCCTGTAGTCAAGCATAAATTAATTAGGGCCAGAAAGCTAGGACCTATAGACTCAAAAACATCCCTGAATAATCTTGTTGGCAGGAAATCAAGAGAACAGTGAGATGTTTTCATGTGTAAAACCACTTCTGATAACACAGGCAAACAGTGTCAAACTGGTCAAAAATAACAGAAGGCAGGGGAAGGTCAGCTGGGTCAAAAGAAGTGATACTGGAGAATTGGCTAATACTAGCAATTTTGTTAGTAAAATCATGAAGAAAACCCTCACATATTTCAACAGATGCCTCAGGATGAGAGGTAAGGTTACATGGGCTAATGACAGAATTAATTGTAGTGAACAAAACCTGAGGTTTGTGACGATTACTGACCAAAATGTTAGAGAGAGGGCAGCATGGTGGCGCAGTGGTTAGCACCGTTGCCTCGCAGTGAGAAGGTTATGGGTTCAGACCCCACCTGGGACCTTTCTGTGTGGAGTTTGCATGTTCTCCCCGTGCTTGCATGGGTTCTCTCTGGGTACTCTGGCTTCCTCCCACAATCCAAAGACATGCAGCTTAGGTTGATTGGTGTCCCTAAATTGCCCATAGGAGTGCGTGTGTGAAGCATGTACAAGGAAAAGAGAGTTGGGCCGAGTACAGACCCTTGGGGGGACATCACAGGAGAGTATAGTTGAAGAGGACAACAGTTACCAATATTAACAGAAAAACCTCTGTTCATGAGGTAAGATCTAAAACAATTAAGAACAGTACCACAAATTCCTACACACTGGGCCAAGCAAGATAGGAGGATTCTATGATCCACAGAACTAGATCCCTGGCCAACTAAATGTCATTATTCATTTTTAATAACTCCCATAGGAGTGCGTGTGCGCATGTGGCTATGTGTTAGCCCTGCGATGGATTGGCGACCTGTCCAGGGTGTACCTCGCCTTTGCCCGATTGCCAGCCGGGATTGGCTCCGGCCCCCCCGTGACCCTGTTCAGGGACTAAGCGGTAGGAAATGAATAAATGTTAGAGAGACAGTTCAATTTTGCAGATTTCACCACCTTCTGATAGTCCGACAGTCCCTGAAATGGTGAAGGGAAGCATAAAGTTTATCCTTCTTCCATTTACGTTCAGCTTTACGGCATTTGTGTTCCCGAGTTCAGTCATTTAACCAAGGTTCCACCTTTGGCTTAGCTGGTCTACATCGGAGGGGAGCAATGGAATCCAGTATATCCTGACAGGTGGAGGTTAAAAGACTTAATATTTCCTCAGGATCCATGTAGGAGGACACATCCCCCATCAGATACAGACCAGAATTTTTAAAGCAAGTAGAAAATTCTCCTGCTGTTGAAGAGGTGATTGTAAGTCTGGTACAAGCAGGAATAGGTTTGTCAAACAGTGGCGGCACATTAACATTGAATAACACAGGGAACTGATCAGAGAATCAAGAGTCGCATACTTCAGTAATAGAAACAGGCAGCCCATGGGAGATCACAAGGTCCAGTGTATGTCCTAGCTCATGTATAGGGCTATGCACTGACCGAGTGAGGTTAAAAGAGTCAATAATACTTAAAATGTCTTTAGACAAAGGGTCAGTCGGGCAACATAAGTGAATGTTAAAATCACCAAGGATTAAAAGCCTATCAAACTTTGGCAAGATAAAACCCAGGAGATCAGAGAACTCTTGAATAAAGTCCTTATTAAATTTAGGAGGACGATAAACCACTGCACACAGCAGTGGTTGAGAGAGTTCTATCACAAACAGCTGTAGTTCAAAACTTGAATAAGTGTCCACTTTCAGCTGCCAACATTGAAAACTGTTTTTAAAAACACATGCCAGGCCACCGCCCCGCCCCGACCTGTCGTACGGGGGGAGCTGAGGAAGGAATAAACCAGGTGGAAGAAGCTCAGAAAATGCACAATGCTCACCTTCCTTTAACTAAGTCTAAGTCAGCAACATGAAATCCAATTTCCGCGATATAAAAAAGTCATACAGAATGAATGTCTTGTTAGCCAATGATCTAATGTTAATCAAACCAATCTGAATCGATAAAACAGGGTTCGGTGGCTGAGACACGTCTCAGCGGTCAGAGGTTAGACCTATTTACGCCTCTTCTCAGATGTTGGCAATATAGATGAGGGGCCGGGAAATCCTGGCTTATGGGCCAAGGCCAACCACAAAAGAGGCCAGGCCAACGAGTTATACTAGGATGACAACAAAACCAGTTGGGTCCACGGCGATGGTCAGTCATCCCTCGTGATGGTCCTCTGACACCCGAGGCTCCGACACATGCACAGTAGCTCATGAAGTAATTGTATCAAACCATCACATGACTAGTGACGTTTGAATCAGCCTCCACAGGTATTTCATTTTTATTTGATTCTAAATAAGGCATGACTGGTGACATTTCTGGTGATGATGATCTTCAATATTTTTCAGGTATTGACCTGTGGATCAAGATGCGCACAGAGCCAGGCACATGCAAAGCGCCACAGCTAATGCAGTTGTGGAAGTGAACCGATACCTGGCTGATCCTCCCCTGGAAAGAACTGATGACCCCGTCACATACTGGGCCTCCCATAAAACTGTTTACCGAAACCTCTATAAATTAGCCAAGCATTTCCTGTGTACCCCAGCCTCATCTGTGCCATGTGAACAGGTTTTTTTCCAAGGCTGGGGAACTGGCCCGTAAAAGGAGAACCCGCTTGTGTCCAATTTACTGTTATTTCTCAATAAAAAACTGTTACACAAACAAGCACACCCTCTTTACCCACATACCCATGAACCTCTTTATGAATGAACCCCAAAACACATCTTGCCAAGGTATACTGTATACGAGGATAAGGATAATCTTTTGAAAGCATAATCTGTATTTGCACCAGTCCCATGTGCGAATGACATCTGTCTGAATCTGTAGAACACGTCATGAATGTAGCAGCAGCATTTAAATGTTTCATAACACAAAATATAAGTGAGGAGCATATAGGGTTACACTCAGACATGCCAAATAAGACACGTGGTCGTCAACATGAGTCCATATTTATTTTATATTTTATTGTGTCAGCTTGAAACCATACAACCATGTAGTGTAGTCGAACAGGAATGTGTATGGCGAATCAAATCCCAAACAATCCATGAACCAGACATGTCTCAAGCACTGTGTCATTGAGGCCCTGAATAATGAACCATTTTTGTGAATACTGTGTCGAAGCTTCAACAAAGCCTCGATTGCCCATCCTTAGTTATACCAGCCTGTTACACTGGGACACTTTTCCATAGACAAATGAATATTAACAAGGGCGGCACGATCATACATTACGAATTGAACAACTGCACTTGTTTAAAATTTTTACAGCTTTATTACTGGCTAAATATAAGTTTAAAGTGGAAGACAAATATAGCTTGCATGTTGTGGTGGATTTCATCGAGCACTCGGTGCTCAACATTGTTTCACTGCTGCTGATTGGTTGCTCATAATTTGATTTGTTATGCCTGCAATGTTACGTTCCTGACTAGCACAGTAAAAAGTACACCGTCTGACGACAAGCCTGGTCTCCGTGTATCATTACATAACAGCGTTGATAAATGAAATACTCACCCTATATTCGTAACAATACTTTACTGCAACAGTGAAGAACACAACACATATAAATAATCAATGTGAAAACGAGGCATTTCACAAGACATTGTTTAGGAGCACGTATGGCGTCGTTTCTATGGCAACCACAACATACCAGTCAAACAGTGAAATCTGTGATTTGGTTTTGTTAACCATATCGTTCGCTGTATTTAAATCGTTCTGGTCTTATGGTCTTGAAGTTTTAAAGGACAACTGGGACAGAGTCTTGAGCACATGACCGAAGATTCGGGGTATTCAAAAGTAAGACTTTTGGATAAATGTTTGTTTAGCAAACATTGACTAGCGTCGCTAGTTTGATTTGCTACTAATTAGCTTCACGTTATATATAGCAGGGTTTAAGTGAGCAAAAAGTAGCTAATGCTTTTAAGCGGCATGGGGACCATTTTTCGTTAATCAGATAATTAAGGTTTTTTTTTTTTTAACTATGATGTAATATCCTGATAATCGCAAGAGTAACGATAATAAATTATATTTTTATTTTTCATTATTAAGATGTAGGTTATAACATAGACTGTAGCATACACAAACACATATGGGTTATTGTCACAAAATTCAGGTTTCAGCCCCGAATAGTTTGAGTCCTAATATTTTTGGTCCTGTCAAAGAATTTGTAGTATTGCAAGGCCATGGGGCAAGGAGGGAGTGGGAGTATTCTGGCGCTGCACGTGAAGGAGCATAAAACATGATGGCATAAATGGACTTCTGTGGTGGTAGCGGTAGAAGCAGGTATGCAGGTACAGAAGCCCCAGAGGAAAAAAAAATTAGGTTGTGACTTTAAGAAGGGAACTGAAGGTAAATAATTAGTTGTACATTTTAAATAATGAATGGCACTATGCTGATGTTGAAAACAGGAAGTTCCTGTCATTCGAAAGTTAATTTGTGTAAGTGCAGCCTAGCTTGGGTTCTGTAAAGTTAGTCATGTCATGAAACTGCTTACAGTATTTCTGTAACAGGGTAGGCTGTGTTCTCTGTTTACCCTATGGCTCCTTGACAAGCATGCCCACTAAAACAGTTTTCTTTAATTCACAAATGTTGTGTGGCCAATGTACACATAGTTAAATAAAAATGACTTTATTAAATGAATCAGAGCACAGTGGAAGTGTGTACAAAGCTATCTGACAATTGTTTAACTGCACTGGTACTCTGGGCATGTATTATTCCTTGCAAGTATTTTGAGTCTACAATACAAATACAAACACAAAAATTGCTTTATTCTTGAACAAATTACATTGACAGTTGTGTGGCAGCATGTTTTGCACAAAATCACCCAGTCACCATCTACTGAATTACATTTTGGAATAACTTGCGTCAGGGGAAATCAAATCAAATCAAACATCAGTGTTGTTGCTGATATTTATGTAGTTCAGTTCCACCACACTATACACCTTGTTTTGTAAGTGTATTGTACTTTCTCCCCTTGTGATTCCTGTCCGGTAATTGTCTATTTATACCTAATATAATATAATAGACTGGTTGAACTGCTGTATCTATTTGTGTTTTCCATTAGTGAGTCTACTGGAGGAGCAACAGGGTAGTAGGCTTCCCAGTAGAGGAAAGGTAGACATGGAGGAGAAGAAGGGAATAGAGGAGAACCCCCCGCTAGTGGCCCTTGCACCTGATGCATCACTTCCAGAAGATCAGCCCTCTGCCAGTACTGATGTTTCTGCTAGTCCTGGTTTCCATTGCCTTGATGAGGTAGGACTCATAAATCTTGTTAAATAATCATATTTTGTAAGAGTGGCATTTTTGAACATTTATAGGTTGGAAAAATGTCACATTTGCTAGTAGCAGCGACTGTATTTACTTGAATTACTTAAAGCCTACAAGAAAAGATTATGAATGCTTTCAAAAGATTATAGAGTGTAGTGGGTAACTCTGTTTTACAAACAAGGTTTAGGACATTTAAGGAAAAGCACTCCCTATTTTATGTTATGGTTGAACTGATATTTGGAAGAGAGCTTGTAACTGAAATTTGTGTGCCTTATATTTAACTTAAAATGTGTTTAATGTTTCAACAAATGTGGATACTTGGAACTTAAAATAATCATGTGGATGAGCATAATACTCTTTTATTAACACGATGCACATACAATAAACAGATGTGAATCACTGGCCAACAGTTCAACTGTTTTTATGTGAAGCTGATATGGACTTGTTCTTTTATTGACTCAACACCTCATTAACCCATTTCTTATGCATATGCAGCACCTCATCCCTCTACTGAGGTGCTGTAAATTGCTCTGAATACTAAACGGCAGACACATCAGAGTTTGAGATTTATACTCATGGATACTCACTCTAAACCTGTATGTATACATTTATTGAAAGGTGATTCTAGTACAGAAGATGCTTTTGAAGATGAGCAGACATCAGAATGACTTAAAAATGGCAAACGATGTACACAGTCATGTAGCCAGAACATTATTAATTTTTGAATATAAAAAAGTGGATATCTTTTGGCATGACAGTTGAATATTAATGATAGAAAAGATCAGTACTGTACACACATAAAGCTTCAAATAAACACATATGTATGGTCACACTAATGCATAATCTTTATCACTGCTCAAATATAAAGAATTAGACCTTGTACTGTACAACCTATGTATTATATAAAAGGTATCATTCCTCACAAAATAAAATAAATACTGTACACATGAAACAGATCTTTTCCCATCCTTCGCATTTACAATGTGTATAAAATGGATTAGATGATGCTATGCAGTTTTCTAACATTAGGTGTCAGTATTGTACAAGGAATGAGTCAGGGAGGAAATGGTTATATAGCATCAAGAGATGCAGTAGTTCAATGCACCCAGATTTATGGGTGGAAAAACAATAACGTTGAATGTACTTGGGTACGATCCAACAGAAATTTATCTCAGGTTGCATATTTATACTGGGATGTTGTACAGTACTGTATATTGTATAGGATGGCAGTACATTAATAAAGTGTCCCAGTGTAATTAAATAAATGACACACCGAAGCTATTACTCGTGCACTGCTACCTAAAGTGTGCTTTGTATTGCTGTCTGTAATTTTTTTTTTTTTTTTTTGTTTTACAGTTTGACTCTGACCCCAGCTTGACGCCTTTCACATTGTATTTCAGACGCACTCAAAACTGTATTATCAGCTCTCGTATACCTCACTTGAGTGGCTGCTGTTAATTATGAAACCATTTAGAGCAGAGAAAATGATAGCTCATTAGGTTTTACTACTACTGTGTGCAGTGCTGTGTCTTGGCTGGGTTTATACGGGAGTCAGCAGGACAGAAAGTGGAAAAATGTCAGCAAAACAGTGATACATCTCTCATGGAAACCCTCCCTGTAATATTTTGGCCATTTTTTATGAGGCTGGCCTTTACACTGCATGTCTTTTTTAAATTAGTCAATCATCATTCATAGTTTATTGTTTTTTATTATTATCATTATAATCCAACATTTTGAAGACCACACTCATTACAGTGGGAAAAATGCAATAGCACATTTTTTTTACTGTTATTTTGTTACTACTGCACTCTGGTAGTTTTTTTTGGCCTATATGTACGCATGTGTAAATGTATGCAAATGTATGACAATGCACATGTGTATGAGTGTTTGAGCCCACTTGTTCTTTCTTTTTTTTTTTAATTTTGGCAATCTAACTGTACATTTGAATATTTACCTGTCTTCTTATGGAGCATAGTTTTTGGGCCGTATCATCATCTTGACAGTTTTGAAGGCCTGTCTGTAATTAGTAGGGTAATACTCTGTTGACATATTATGCCATGTGCCCCAGAAGATCCCGTTCCTGACTCCCTTGTACCTCTTGTGATAGTACTTCCCATTGAGGTTGGCGGACATGCAGGCATCAAACCACCAGCCAGAGCTGTAGTAGGCGCCACAATTTCCAGAGGTGTACATGTCATTGTCACGGTCAGGCGTGGAGAAAAACTTCTGGTCATGGTTGAAGTGCTTGTTGAAACTGATGGCATTCCCAGCGGTCCCACTGCAGTGACACATCAATACATGTAAGATGTAGTCCTCCTTTATGAGCATTTTATCACACATGCATGCAGGCACAATCTTATATTGTACCTGTATCCACTGACTGACAGCCGGTAGCGGAGGTATTCATTGGCCACATAGAACTCGTCGTACTTTGCATATTCCCGGACACCCTCAAAGTCCTCCAGCTCAATGCGTAGAATCATGTCTTTGGCTTTTGTCAGCAAGTGGATATAGTCATTGCCCAGCCAGAACTCACCTCTGCAGGAGAATAAAAGGGAACATGATTAAAAAAGAGAGAGAGAGAAAATGGGAATGGAACAAACCAAAATGAGGGTTAGATTATAAATAAACTCATATTGTATACTTGATCAGAGAGTGGATAGGTTTGCTCAAACTGAATTTATGTATTGCCTCAGGCAAGAAGAAGAAAGAAAGATGCAAGGGGAGAGTTGTGTGACAGGAAAAGATGAACAAGAAGAGAATTAGTTTTTTTAGTGGGAGATAATACTAGGTCTGTAGGCATGGTTATCAAGAGATAACCATGGTTATTTCCCATGAAAACTCTTTCCAGCAGGAACAGAGAAGAAAATAGAGAAAATGAGTTGAAATTTGAACCAAGTTGTAGTAAAGGCACAGCATTAAAACATAATGATGAAACAGTGCAAGTGGGATAAAGATTTTTGGCTTAAATAATTAATTTTAGCCCTTAAGTTTATGATCTGTTAATCAACTTCAGTCCTACAGTCCTTAGCTCTTCTAGATCCTTCGGCAGCCGTCGATACCATTGATCATGCAATTTTGCTATTCTGTTTGGAACACCGTGTTGGCCTGAAAGACGCAGTGCTAAATTGGTTCACCTCGCTCCTGACCAATAGGACCTTTTCTATTGCTATCGGCGATTTCTCCTCGACGGCACCCCCTCTTACCTCAGGTGTTCCCCAAGGCTCGATTTTAGTCCCGTTACTTTTTTCATTATACATGTCACCCCTCGGCTCAATTATATCAAGACATAATGTTCATTTTCATTTTTATGCAGATGGTGTCCAGATTTATATGCGTCTGATTCAATGTGACTCTAACGCCCTTACTCCCCTCCATAACTGTATTCGCGATGTTAAAGAATGGCTATCACAGAATTTCCTTTATTTAAATGACAGCGAGACTGAACACATTGTCTTCAGTCCCGACTCAGCTGCTCTTGTATCCAAATTAGGGGTTTTGGCTCCCTTAGTCACTGATACCGATAGAAACCTCGGAGTGATATTTGATAGTAACCTTAATTTCGATAAGCAGGTCAGATCGATAGTTAAAACTAGCTTTTTTCACCTGAGGGTGTTAACGAAGGTGAAGCCCTTCCTATCACATGCTGAGTTAGAAAAAGCTATTCATGCTTTTATCACCTCACGAATCGACTACTGCAATGCCCTGTATGTCGGAATTTCTCAATCTCTTCTTTGGTAGCTACAACTTGTCCAGAACGGCTCCTCTCGAATACCACCAGATACGCCCACATCACCCCTGTCCTTTCTTCGCTGCACTGGCTGCTAGTGAAATTCAGAATTGACTTTAAGGTGCTGTTATTTGTATTCAAGTCGATTAACGGCCTCGCCCCCTCATATGTCGGATCTCGTTTCTTTCTATGTGTTAGGATCGCTCGACACAATTGTGAGCGAGCAGAAATGAACAGACCCAGGCGGCTGGCTTCGTTTAACATTCATTACATTTTGGCAGGCCTTCAGTACTTAACTCATTTCACTGAGCTATTTTTAACTCGTTCTATGTTATTTATATTTCAACATGCAGTTTGCCCGCTGTTTTAAAGTGTGTGTTTTAATCTATTTTAGGTTTTTTCACTTTTTTTCTAAGAGTACATACGGTTTGCTGTGAAGCACTTTGTGCCCCTTTCAAGTTGTAAAGTGTTATATAAATAAAGTATTATTATTATTATTACTGATCAGCCACAACATTAAAACCACCTGCCTAATATTGTGTAGGTCCCCCTCATGCTGCCAAAACAGCTCTGACCCATTGAGCTGTAGACTCCACAAGACCTCTGAAGGTGTCTTTTGGTATCTGACACCTAAGTGTTAGCAGCAGATCCTTTAAGTCCTGTTAGTTGTGAGGTAGGGTCTCCGTGGACATGGTCTATGTTTTCCAGCATATCTTGCAGCTGCTTGACTGGACTGAGATTTGGGGAATTTTGAGGTAAATATAACATCTTGAGCTCTTTGTTATGCTGCTCAAACCATTCTTGAACAATTTTTGCAGCATGGCTGCATACATTATGCTGTGCAAAGAGGCCACTGCCATCATAGAACAGGAAACAGTTGCCATGAAAGGGTGTACTTGATCTGCAACAATGTTTAGGTAGGTGGTAAATGTCAAAGTAATGTCCATATGAATGCCAGGACCCAAGGTTTCACATGGGAACATTGTCCAGATCATCACACTGCCTCTGCTGCCTTGCCTTCTTCCCATTGTGCATCCTGGTGCCATCTTTTCCTCAGGTAAATGAAGCACGCACACCTGGCCATCCACATGATGTAAAAGAAAACTTGATTCATCAGACCAGGTCACCTTGTTCCATTGCTCTACGATCCAGTTCTGATGCTCACATGCCCATTGTAAGTGCTTTTGGTGGTGGACAGGGGTCACTGTTAGCACTCTGACTGGTCTGTGGCTATGCAGGTCCATAAGCAATAAGATTTGATGCACTGTGTATTCTGATACCTGTCTATCATAGCCAGCATTAAGTTTTTCAACAATATGTATTACAACAGCTCTTCTGTGGGATCAGACCAGATGAGTTCACCTTTGCTCTCCACGTGCATTATTGAGCCTTGGGTGCCCTTGACCCTGTTGCCTGTTCATGGGTTGTCCTTTCTTAGACCAATTTTGGCAGTTATTGACTACTGCAGACTGGGACCACCCCACAAGACCTGCTATTTTGGAGATACTCTGACCTGGTTGTCTAGCCATCCCAATTTGGCCCTAATACCACTTGCTACCTAATATATCCCACCCCTTGACAGGTACCATTGTAACAAGATAATCAATGTTATTCAGTTCAACTGTGAGTGGTTTTAATGCTGTGGCTGATGTTCAGTCAGTTATAGTGAAAACAGGCGGTGGGCAATTACTGGTAGTGAGAACAGCCATGCATCATTAGGCCTTCTGAACAGTGAGTGACAGGGCAATCCCAAGTTGTGTGAGGATAGGTAAAGCTGCTCCATAGCAAAAAACTTTGTTAAAATTAGTTAATTCACTGGTGTGCATGAATGCCTACTGATAATTATTATTGTCAGCAGTTACAGGGGAACGCTGAATTAATTGATGTTTTTTATTTTTCTGTGTATTCTTTGAAAGCCTTGTCTCTCTCTACCACAGCTCTATGGTTACCTGAGCAAATGGTAGGTTGTATTTATGAAAATGTATACAGTTCCCCCCCCCAATACTACTGCTTACAAAGCAGTTCTGTTCTAGCATCCCATTTAAAGTTTTCCAGTGCTGCACATCAACCACTGCCCTGTTAATTGGGGTAGCTGCGCTATAGTCGCCATGCAGCACAATTGTGTGATTTGTGGTCATAATTCAGAGGGTAATTTAGAGGGTAACCAAGGAAGGATTGAAGTTCAGTACCTGAGGTTACCGAAGCCTTTCTTATATTCAGCCCAGGTACGGTTGAAGCTGACAGAACCATTGAGCCGTTGCTGTATCACGGTCCATCCACCTCCAAACGACTCCATTTCACAGAAGACCTCAAATGTCCCATTGCGGGGATCAGGGGTCACACGATACACACCATTCTTCTTCACCTCCAGCACATTGTAGTCTGAACAGTCCCGAGGGGCTATGATGACTGTTGGAAAAAAAAGAGAAAAGGAGATGGAAGTTTCAGGATGATAATGAATAATCTTTTCATTTTGCTCTGGCATTTTTCTCTGCCCAGAAAAAGGACTATAATAGAAACACCCCCTGAGGCCAAGGAAGAAAGAACGAAAATGAGATAAGTTAGTAGGAAATCCAGCTTTAGTCATTGTGGAAGTTCTTTGTCCTGCATTTATTTCCAGGGAATGCATTTAAACATGAAACAGTTCTTACCATGTCTTCTGCTACCAGACTGTTCCCCTTGACTTAACAAAACAATTTTTTCTGTTAATCAGATTACATTTCAACATTTCATCAAGCACATAAAACAACTGTTTCACTGAATGCTGTCTTTCAGTAATCTTTTCAGTACATATCAGTCTATTCTTTGTTTCTCAGCATGGCATCCCTTATCTGAAAATCATATTGAGAGCCAGAGGGCTCTAACTTGAAAGAAAATTAAGGGACAAAGGCTACACGATAAAAGTCAGTGACTTTGCTCTGTGCCTCACAACAGTCTCATTTCATTCACCTCTGCTACTCTCTGAGATCTCCCTCCCCATCTTTTCAATACCTGCCCGTTTATTTCTCTACTTCTTGCTCCTGTGATGCACTGCAGGCCACTGATCCAACACAAAACCAAGGTCCAAAAGCCTCTGTCAGTTAGCATTTGGGAGAAGAAAGAAACAGACTTATCAAAACATGGAAAAAATGTGAAACTCTTTTAGAAAGGCATACCCTCCTCCTGCACACAAAGCCTACAGTAAACCATCTTGACAGTGGGCAGCCAGCATGTGGACCCTTCCTGAGTTATAGCAATATTGTTAAAGCTGTTCTTTGGTCTGGTAGATTATAATAGCACATTGGTAGGTGGGTCCATACTGAGTAATGGTCTTATACTTGTATAGCACCTTTCTACGCTTTTACAGCACACTCAAAGCGCTTTCACATTATTTGGCCATTCTCCCATTCGCACTCCCAAGCACTCACACACCGGTGACATCACCGGGAGCAACTGGGGGTTCAGTGTCTTGCTCAAGGACAGTTCGACATGCTGACTTGACAAGCCGGGGACCGAACCGCTAATCTTCCGGTTGGGAAAAGACCTGTGCTACCTCCTGAGCCACAGCTGCCCCACAAATTACAGAGGGGCAGATGTTTTCTGAGGTCTGCGGAGGGGATGTCTAGAATGAGCACTGTCTGTGGAATAGGGTGGAGCAGTGTAGTCTCATGGCACTTCCTGGTACCGTAAATGCAATGTTAATTTTCCAAACATCAGTTTTCGTCCCTCGTGATGACATTAGAACCCTTCTGTAACTTGTACATGGTGCATGAGATAAAGTCACCATTGTATATATTTGGCTGGTTTGACTCTGCAATCTATTTTATTTTCCTGTCACATTAGACAGAATATTTCAGGTGCAAAATGACTGCTGAATCAGATGGTAGATCACTCCAAATTGGAAACAGTCTTTAGTTGAGTGTCCGATTGAAATTGATCCCTTTTAAGACTGTCTGCACTTGGAATTCAGTGTATTCATCTGTAAATTCTGTCAGTGTCTCCTTCATTTTAAGTGTCTTCTGGCACTGTGTCCAACCTAAATATCTCTAATATCAGCCATTTACAGATGCCCTAATGACTGTTGGCTGATTGGCTGTAGGACTAGGGTGGCAGATTCAAATTAATGGCTAATTGGCTAACAGATTGCTTCATCTCTCTCAGTGCTTACTTCCATAGCCTGCTTTTTTAAAAGCTGAAAAGTTGGATGACAGACTGACATTTCTGACCAACTGACTGCTTGAATACCTCATTGTCTGTTTTACTGACTAAATGATTGACGTTAAAGGAAAGAAACTGTTATCAAGGAAGTAAGTCTTGTGACAACCAGTACTCATGTAAGATTAGCACTTGTAATGAAAGGAAATGTGTATCCAAAGTGACAGCATAATGTTTCCCCACAAAACAACTTGAAGCAAACAGTACTGAAAGCAACGCCTCTCCCTAAGGAAGTAGTGTCATGACATTACACAGCAGCAGTTTATGACAATGTAGTGGATTAGGCATCCTCTTTCTTTGTTTAAAAATTGAGCTAATGTACCTAAACAGTGTTGTGAATTACTGTCTTTTCACCTCAAGACTGTCAATAAGTCTTGCAGGAGTGAAAGTCAAGATTAGTGCTTACAATGAGGATGGGAATTAGCAAAGAAAGTGAAATAAATGCTTAGAGCCTTGTGAGCTGTGACAAAAATATTAGCTTTGCTTGATACTGAAATTGAAATTCAACATTGGCTTAAAATGTGTGGATACTAAATGCTGGTGTTTTATTAGCTTGTTTGTCAACAGCTGTTATACTTTTTAACTAGGCACAAAATAGTTTGGATAAAGGGGGGAACATTTAAAAAGGTATTTTGAGTGTGATTATTTTGAATGTCTTTTCCAAACGCACTGAGTGCAAATGTTGTTCGAACTGTTATGTGGTCTAAAGTGCTATACCAGCGTGGTTAGTTTTGAAATCCTCAGGAATGTGTGAGTAGTTAACATTTGCTTGCCAGTGAGCCACCAACACAGCTCTGATCTAGATATAAACACATTAATGTCTCTTAAATGTTTTATCTGATGGTCATTATAGGTCTACTTGCATGTCTCACTTTGGATGAAAACATTTTCATAACAGTTTAAATTTGGCTTGTACAACAACTTGTTTAACAACTATTTAATGGTTTAGCTACAGTTTGGCAGCTGGATAGTTTATTTGGGAGTCAGGGGAACCATTTAGCCATGACTTGCTTCACTAAGCACTTTTGACATTGTGATAAACAACCGGAAAGCATTTTTCACTCAAGGCCTTTTTCATTGCGTAGTATTAATATCAGGTAGAAAGGCATAATAATTCAGCATCTGATATTAGTTTTAAAAGGTAAAAAAATGCACTGTCTCCCAAAATGGGACTGAATTGGGATCAGTATAGATGCAAAAAGTTTTCATTTTATATCCGTGTAGATTCTCAGTCATCCAGATAAGCTGAAAAAACTGGACTAGGTTTTTAGGTCGAAGACGTTTCACCTCTCATCCAAGACGCTGCATCAGTTCTGCCCGACTGGCGTTGAGCCGGAGATATTTATCCCCATCCGTGGTGTTTCAGTCCTTTGATGCCCAACAGTGTCCCCTACTGACTGAGTCGTTATAGCCCAGTATCGGTGAGCATTGTTACCTGTCTTTGATCCCTCACTTGTGGACCGACGCCTATTGTCCTGGTGGGCATGTTTGGGCAGAGATCTCAAAACAGGATTGTAGATAGATGACAAGTTGTGTCTTAGTCCACCACCCCTATTTAGTGAGGGGTGTTCTATTTGAACAAAAATAGCTTCCTTGACTCCTCTCTCCTTTTCATTTTATATTAGCTTTAATGTCTTTTTTTAAATTAAGAAGAATTACTTGAGTAAAACAGCGATTACAGCACTGTTTATACTCATCTTGTGAAACTAGAGTTTGGTTTATTTCCACGGTAACAGCTGTCTTTTGACTGCTTCTTTTGGATTCACTTTAGACACCATCAGGCACAACTGTCTAACTTGCAGCCATTTTGCCATTTCTAATTTGCCATTTATTGGGCTTAACATGACCGACTGATGTGCAGAGACAAGTGGTACTGACCCCGTGTACCATCCGTAACCAATGTTGAGAAAGCCGCCTACATTGCTTCATGCGGTGTTGGCAAGAGATAATGAGAGTTAGTTGCTTTATGCAGAAATGATCACTCAAGAACATGACCTCCAGAGGAAGAGAGAAGTAGGAGGAAGACACTGGGAAATTGGATTAAAGAGAGAGGGAGACAAAGTTAGTGCAAGAGAAAATAAATGAAAAAGAGCATGACGAACAGATGCACTTAGGATAAATGTATTGTTGTTGAAGAGAGCAGAGAATCGGATAGCAGTGATAGCTGTAGACAGCAGTATGAGCCTAATGTATGACTTTTTATGTTGTTTTGCTAGTGTAATGTACTGTTCTGTGTGTACTGCTGATGTTAAAAAGGAGAAGTAGTTATGTGAAAATGGAGAGGTCAGCACACACATCACTACAAAAGAGGAAGTGCAGGCAGAAGTGTCTGTGTCTGTAAGTAGAGAAAAATAAAAGAAAGACGAACCACCAAGTTACTGGAAAGAAGGAGATTTACGTAAAAATAATGACTTCATGCATAAAGTGAAGTAAAGATTTGATTACTCAGTGTTTGATCAAGTGTTAGTTATTTTGTACTCAAAATAATATAGCGATCCTTGTTTTAAATCCAATGTATTGACAGTTTTTGTGTAACTGAATATGAGTTTCTTATAGTTTAATTACATAACATAATGATTTCTGTGTTTGTAATTGAATGTGCGTAAGAAAGATAACAGTAGAAAATGCTAAGTCATTGTGGTGACGGTGGTTGCAGGCAACAGTATGAGTGGAAGAGGAGAGAACTGAAGGAGGGCTTGAAGGAGAGAGGCAAATTTAGGGGAGAAACACAACAAGCAAAAAGGCTGAGATTCCCTTCACACCACTGTCCCAGCTAATCTACTTAGAAATAAGCTCACATCTGTTTTCCACATAAAAGCCCAAATATAGTGTCACATTCACATCCATCCATGCAGTATCAGGATATTATTCAGTTGCAGTCTGAAAAGTGGCCTGCATTTCAACTGCATTGTCATTTAAATAAACATTCACATCAATGTAAAATGGAAAGCTTAGCTAGTTTGCACTTCCTACTGATAGTTTTGCATAGTCTCTGTGAGATTCCACTCCCATTAAGCTTATTTTTTAAAATTCATGCTGTAGATGCCAAGTATTGGTCTCTTTCCCCTTTTTGAGTTTCTGCATAAGGAAAGTAGCTGAATGTCAGAACAGGTCATTTGAATTCTCACTTTGATCCTGGTTGTCATATTGCCTCACTCATATACAATATGATCTCAACCTAAAGCTATTTTTCTCAGGGGATTTTTTTTTTTTTTTGCTATGGCCACTTTGAGTAGACTGAGATTGTACTATATTAATGTAGTGGACATTAACAGCTATAATTTGCAAGATACACTCACTACAGTATCTTTTTATAGGCAATGGGAAGATTCCTCTTCTCCTCATAATTCAGATCTTCCTAAAATACATAACATTATTCATATTTGTAATGGTGAAGGCATGATTCAACAAACCACTTTGCATATTTAGCAAAGGCATTGTCAGCCTGGGAAATTTAATTTTCCACTTCCCAGAAAGACCGGCCTCAGTGAGTGAAAGTGACCACCCAGAACTGGGTTGTTTTGCAGTGATTACAAGTTGCCATGTCCATTTAGGCATGATTGGATCGCCCTTATGCTAGATCATTCACCTTACCCTGACCCAAATTACTGGACATGTTTGGTATGTGCTGGAGTTTCATTATCTTATAACATCTGTGGTGAATTTATGAGAGCAGAAACAAACAGAACAAACAAAAGAAACAGAAAGAGCCTCTTGATCATGTTCAAAGAGATTACAAAATATGAGAAGAGGAGAGACATCTTTGAAATAGCTGAGATAGAACCAAGTAGAGCAAAACACAACAGAGAATAAGGAAAGGGGTTTTCAGTTGAAAGAGAATACTGTATATCCTCCATTAAAAAGCTGACAAAAGATGAGGTATGATGGAGTATAACAGAAATAGTGCAGAAAATACCAGACTATTAAAAAAACAAAGTAGAGAATACCTATTAAAACTTTAGTAAGACTTACACTGAGGGCTGCTCTGTACTGCACACTGGCTGGTGCAGGTGGAGCTGAGCTTGTTGACCACTCCAGTGATGTTCTCCACCCGTCTGTCCACCATAGCCTGCACGTTGTCCATGTTGAGCAGGTTGAGACCTTCCAAACGGCCCTGTAGAGCTGAGATGTGGCCCCTGGCATTGCGCAGGCTGGCTGACATCCTGTTCAGCTTCACCTGGTAAGGACCAAAGCGGTGGGAAGGAAATTACTTCTGTGCACTGCATACAAAGCAGGTGGATAACTGAAGTCACCAGCCACCTCCATTTTTTTTAACCAGCCAGTTAGAATAGAAACAAGTCTTTGTGATGGTTGGCTGTCTGCCAAAGTGGCTGAGAGAGTCAACAAGCTTACAGCAAAATTTGCCATCATTTGGCTGGTGCCTAGTGCTGATTCCCCACCCATTTTACAGTACCAGGAATTTTCCCTGATGAATTGGTGCCACCTAGGACTTAAAGGACTTTTAACATCTGGTCAGTTTACATTCCAGCTGAATGTACTTGACCGGACAGATTTAGGTGACTTTGTATTGAGAATGTTTATAAAGGGCACTTTAGTTTATTTAGAACAGTGTCACTAAAATATTTACAAGACTGGTAATTATACTGACTTGCTGGAAATGTAATGCTTTGATGGAAATGCTGAAACTAGAGCAGTGCCCCTCTTTGTGCAGACCTAAATTATGTTCATAGAACATGTACTGATAAGGATTTTACAGTTAATAAAATGCTCATTTGTTTTTGTTTGTTTGTTTTTTCTTCATATGAGAGCAAATATAGTACTGCCTACCCTAATTTGGGTTAGGCTGCCATAGCATAAACTTTTATTGAAAATTATGAGAAATTCCTCAAACATTTTTTTAAATATTTACATGGTGGTGTCATTTTTGAGCATTGAATCAAGTGTATCTATAAAAACAGCACAGATTCCTTAGTCAGATCTTGCATTTTCCAGTTTGAAGTGTTAAGTCAGATTAACTGTGCCTCTTACCTGCATCTCCTGCATAGTGCTTGGGCTTGGCATACCTTTTCCAAAAATAGAACCTTGCTCCAGTCTAGTACTATCCACAGTAGCTCCAGGGATTGTCCCATCTCCCCTCTCCTCTTGGCTGGACCCACCTTGCACCTCCTGTGCTGTGAGGTCCACTCTCACTTCTTCCCCAGCATCCCTCTGTCCTTGGTCAGCTTGCTGATGTGCCCCACGGCACCCTTGGCATCCACTTTTCAGCTTGTTCACCACCTCCTTCAGGCTCTGCAGTTCCTTCATCATCTTCTCCAGCAGTCTGAACTGCTTGGGCAGTTGGATGGTGAGGGGAGGCAAGGTGAGCTGGTATGGGCAGTCCTCCCCTTCCTCTGTCCTGGCCCCAGAGCTCCCGCACTGACCTGAGGGTCTAAGTTTCACTGGGCAGGAGGTGGCGATACCAGATTCAGATTCCAAAGTGTAAGGTCCTCTAGTATCCCATCTCTGGTGTGAGTTGATGGGGAAGTCCGTTGCCCGGCTGGTGTGTGGCACTAAGGTAGCTGTAAGCAGGAGGCTGGCATAAACGCAAATCACAGTCGTCCTCATTTTTTGTGTGAGATTTATAAGGTGTGTGTAAAGTAAAAGAGCATGTACAACTGCTTTTGATGTGATCTTAGCGTGTGTCTGTATAATAGTGTGTTTGTGTGCAGCTGCAGATTGTCTGTAAGTATAGGAGTATGTGAATGGGTATCCAGTATCCTTTTTGTTCAAATGTCTGTGTGTGTGTGAATGAGCGCAGCATGCAGGAGGGAGAGAGTGCAGGGGAACTGCCGCTGCCTCAGATGACTGTGTCATTAATAGCAGGACGAGCGAGGGAGAGAGAGCGACAGAGAGAGGGAGATGGAAGAGGGAGGGAGAAAGGCAGAGCAGAAATGGGAGGGGCAGCACTATTGCGTAATGCAAAACACTATAGCAGCAGGCTTGTGAAAAACCATAGTGATGCAGACAGAGATTGTGGGAATGGGGAAAGAGAAATAAATAATGAGGGTGGAAAAAGGAGAGAGTGACAGAAGCAGGGAGGAAGGTAAAGAGAGAAGAGTTAGGTCCTTTGCCTGCAGTCCTGCTTCACTCTGATTTCCCTGAAGAGTGAAATGAAATGACTCAGAAACTATCCACTCAACTAATATTGGAGTGATGCTGATTTCACACTTTGTTGTTTTAGTGACCTTGCATGTGTGCAACATTTAAAGGCCTTGTCCCTTGACCAAGTTTAGATTCCAAAGCCTTCCTGAAAACACTGAATCGCTGCCACCAGTCACCCTCCAGGTGGGCACAATTACTGTAAAATCCATGGTTAGCCAGCAGAAAAATACCAGAGGTCCATTTCCATTAGTGCTAACAACTTGTTTTTCTGGATTTATGTCTTGCTAGGATGTTGCAAATTATGCAGGATTTGTTAGAGATGTGTAAATCAGATTCCTAATAGACGTCCTTAAAATTGAGTGCCTATCAGATTTTACAACATATTACACCTGCAGAGAGCACACCTAACACTAAATTACAGCGATTAAAGCCAAATTATTCTTGATAAATTCTGTTCTGTTGACTGTAGGCAGCAAGACACCATGTCCTGTCCCATTTTTGCTTGATGTATCAGACAGTGTGTCAAATCTTAGTTAATGTACCTTTAAGACTTGATGTCACCACTGGTTTTATGAACTGTTTTACATAAGTTGATTAAACATTTATAATGAAGCAAACAGATCATTTTTATCTTTTCTTGTACGTTAATCATTATTAAACCACAAATACACTTATTTTGTATACTGTATAATGATAATGTGATATGGTCATTTTTGGTGGATTTTACTGTTGTGGCTAAAATTGTACTCATACTCTCCCACAAATATTATTCATACATTAGGCAGTCTCCTGGCTCATCGTTATATAAATGATTTGGCAGTGAAAGCTATTCAAATGAACTGTTTATTCTGCAGACTTGCCACGCCTAGCATCACTTCACTAAGTGACTCTCAGTCTGGATGTTACTTTACTGGAGTCTGGTTGTAAACGTTTTGTTCATTAACTTGGCACTGGTTATTTGTTTGGTGGACAGAGCTATTGTTTTGAGTACATTGTATGATTCATAATCATAGGTCATGTAATTGGATTTTTTCCTCAGGGTCTTAGATGTCTCATGGACATGTCATATTTCTAGAGAAATGACAAAGTTTCAGTAATTGATTTCATATACAGAAATGGCTCTCGACCCTGAAGGAGGGACGTTCCAGGCTGGAAAATATTACAGCACAAAATCTTACACAGAGATTCAATTTGGTTTTCGGCTCAACTCCAATTCAGACAGTCAATATGAAGACTTGAGACAGAGATACAGCGAGATGGTTCTCTCCCTCACTTAGTGGAGTGCAGTCCTGTGCCTTGTGGCAATGGTCATTATTTTTCTCCTGGAGGGTTCAGTGTATTAAAGCCTGCAGCTTCTTTTTGTTTCACTACTGCACCACACACACACACACACACACACACACATACACACATACAAATTACTGGCAGGCTGTAGTGCTGTTCTGCATTGCAGATTACATGCTTGCTTTGCCAAGTACGTATATGGGTTGGTGGGTGGGTGAGGAAGTAAATGGACAGGTATGCTGATCCATGTGCCTGCATAAATATCTTCCAGTCATTATCTCTATCTCACTTCAAAGAGGTTCTGCCACCCTATAAAAGCTTCCAGTACTCTATACTGCTGAAGATAAGTCTTGGCACCAGAATTAGAGAGACTGCCTGAAATTGCTTCAGGTTGCTCAGATAAATGTCCGGTGTACAGCCAGGATGTCTGTCGCATCATTAGCATGTTATCTGTGCTACTAAATAACACAACACAGTCTTCTTTTTAAACAACAGTTGGTATGAAAATCTGTTTTAAATTGCTGTTTCAGTGTCAGTGAGATGAGATAATGTTCTCGTAATTTCTGTTTCTGTTTATAGGACTCAATATTAGATTATATGATTAATGTTGTATTTATAGAAATCAGTTAGGACCAGATGACTCACTCAGCATTTCATGATGGAAGGGTGAGGGTTTCACAATAGTTAGAGTTTTATACATAGATCATGTAACCCTAGTCAGATGTTTTTCCTTGTAGTGATGTGATATCAGAATCATAATAACGCCGGCACTAATTTACATCATTCAAGACACTGATATCTCTGTCCTCTCAGCCCTTGGAATATGGCAAGCACGTTTGACAATACCCAGATAAACTGCACAATGCAATGAATCTAAAAACATAATCGGCTATCCCGAACGTTTGAAGTCAGGGCAAAATATCAGTCCGTGTGCTTGTGCGTATATAATCAGAGCCTTTGTATGTGTTCACTGCCGTTAGATTAGCTGCTACACAGTCTGACCTGAGATATCCTCAGTCCTGCATCTCTTTGATACAGGCAAGGCTATCCTTCATTACTCCACACTTTACTGGCTCTGAAGATAAGACAGGAAACAACACCTGTCCTTTCTTTCTGTCACTGTTATACGCATGAACTACCTTGCCAAAGAGACTCTTACAGATACTTTTCTCTTTTTACAAGCAGTCCCTCCTTTTGCTGTGTCTTATTTTGTTTTTGCATCTGTGTATCTTTTATCACTTCATTCAGATACAGTAATGGAACCTTTTTTAATCTCAAGAATTGTTAATTATTGTTATTTACTGTAAGGGCTGTTTTCTGTATGTTTTCTTTTCTCTTTGAGATTGTTGGTATCTAGGGATTTATTGTTTCTGCTGATCATGATAAGGTGTTCTGATACTGTAATGATAAAGGATTATTGAACCCAGCTTGGGTTAAATTCATTTTACAGACATCAGGGAGTTTGTTGTGATTGATCAACTGGAATTTGAACAAGTTTATGATTAGTGATGAGTAGCGATTTAGTTTTCAACTTCTGGGACTTAATTTTGTCACAAAGCTATATTACACAGAACTGCTTACTGGTCAGAACTGTATATGGTTCCTAGCAATATTTCCCTGTTAAATATTTTATCTGAAACATGGCAACAAGAGATTTCCTCAGAATGTGATATTTCGTAATATCTTTTATACAGACAGGTCTGTGTTGGAGCAGGAAATTTGAGATAGTGAAACCTAATATATATAAAGCTGAAATAATTTAAATCCCATTTACCACCAGGGATATTCTGCCTACCCAGTACATTCAGGTTTTTTAAACTATACTTGTATTAGGTACTAACTGCATATTATTTTGTTTTTGTTTTTCATGTCCATATTTTTGATAATATTACTGTTCTGTGTTCCTCAGTTGTTTTCACTGGGTAAGATCAGCCAGGCCAAAATGGCCAAACTGAAAGCCAGCTACAGGCGACTGCATGACACTCTGAAAAGGTATGTTTGCCTCCTGTCTTTCATGGAACAAGTTCAGATTTGTGTGTTAAATTTTGTAGAAATATTTGACTACAAAGATGTTGAGAGTACTGCACACTAGAGAAGTAAGTTGGTACGTGGGTTGAGTTTTGGCTTCCAGCTGAAGTGTCTTTGAAAAAGACTAACTGCTTATCAGATGTAGTTGAGAGCTTATATAGAAAGTCACTTTCGGCTTTTCCATTTCGGGGTCGCCAGAGCGAATCGTCACACTGATGACTCGCATGTTGACATTTGGCACATATTGTACGCCGGATGCCGCAGCGGCGAGAGCGCTGCGCCTTAACTACTAGCCTACCACTGTAAGAAAAAAACTGAAGTACTTTAGCACCTTTGACATCAACCACGGGTGTCTGTGGAGACCGTTTGAAGATTAGTGGAATCAGAAATCCTAATTTGAGCAAAGAGGTAGAAGAAAGCTGAGAAACTAAAATTAAAAATGTCAGTCTTCAAACTTTATTAAATTCTTTGATAATGATTCTTGAAATCACCACAAGGTGATTAATAGACGAGGAAAATAATAGAAAATAGAAATAGAAAATAATAGAAGAGAAATTAAGTTTTCTTGAGAGAAGAATTGTGAAATTCAGTTGTCATTTAAATATAATGAACTATATACTGTATTGCTATGCAAACATAAGTGAATCTTTTCTCAATAATACCTGAGAGATAGTAGAGATAGTGTCATGTTCTCATGTATAAAAAAAGAAATAGAAACAACTGAAATAATATTTAAAATTTAATGACCGATTGAGGAAAGGGTTAAATGTATTCCAACTCATTTTAATGCTAATGATCTTACTTTGACAGTGAAATACAAACACAGTAAAGATTAAAACTACCTAATGTGGTTTTAGCCTACTATCCATCCATTATCTATACAGCTTATCCTGAAGAGGGTTGCAGGGGGCTGGAGCCAATCCAAGCTGCCACTAGGCAAGAGGTGGAGTGCACCCTGGACAGGTCACCAGTCTATCTCAGGGCTGACACTTAGCCCTCCTGTTATGTTGCGGGTCAAATTGACATAACTGCTTTAAATGAGACAAATATTTGATATGAAGAAATGAACATAACAGGAGGGAACCCTCCTGTTATGTTAATTTCTCAGGTGATGCCTGCTCAGCAGTTATGTTCGTGGGTCAATTTGACCCGCAACATAACAGGAGGGTTAGAGACAGACAACCACACACATCCACATACACTCCTACGGGCAATTTAGAGTTACTAGTCAACCTAAGCTGCATGTCTTTGGTCTGTGGGAGGAAGGCAGAGTACCTGGAGAAAACCCACACAGGCATGTTGAGAACATGCAAACTTCGCACAGTAAGGCCCTGAGCCAGTCGGGGCTGCAACCCTTGCTGCCTTTTGGTCTACTAGTTGTTGAAAATTTAACCACCGGTTTGTGCATAGTATCTGTAGTATCTGTAGCCTACATAGGTTACCACATCATTGTTTGATCCAACAGTACACAGGACTCTGAGATCCAGCTTTTGGGAGAGGCAAAGCGGCGTCATACTGAGCTGGAGAAACTGCAGGCCGAGGTGGAGAGAGCAGAGGACCAGAGCATATCTGAGGAGCCTGAAAGTGAGGTCAAAAAACTGAGGCAACAGCTCCTCCAGGCATATAATGAACTGAAAGCTGCCGAGGACAGAGAGTATGATACACAACACCAAGTGAAGTGGTGAGCTGTAGACATACAGTATACACATTGTAATTGCAATCACGAGCTACGAGTTGCATTTTCACTCAGCTATTAAATTTAGTGTCAAATGAATCGTATTAAAATAATAAAATTAAACTTGACACAGACTTCTTTCAAATTTGGTTGTAGCTTTGTCTAATTTAGGAATTAGACATGTGCACACACCCACACATACACACACACACAGCTGCACTTCACACCACTGACACAACCCCGAGGAGACTAAGGACAAAACACAGAAGTGAAACTGCACTGGTGAAGTTGTGTACAGTAGGAGAGTTATATGTGCATGGGCACACTGTTTGTGAGGACACACCCTTATGCCTAACTTCTCAAACTAATTCTACCCTAACAGAAACCAAATCTTGACAGACAGCTTTTTGAAGATGAGTCAGAAAGCGAGGACCGGCCAAAATATCCTCATTTTCCCCAGTATGTCCTTAATCCCAGGGCATAAGACTCCTCACAATATATAGCCATACAAATATACACACAGACACAGCTGAGTAACAAGGGACCAAAAACTGAGATGAGCTACACAAAGCTGCTTTTTAGCAAGTTTTTATTGACTTCAGAGGGCGGTGAAGGTGAAAGAGTAAAGACACACACATTAATGATATTGTACTGTGTGTATTGCTTGGCCAACAATATTTTTTCTGCACCACTGAAACTGTTCACACTAATCATAATCAAAACTTGGATTACTTTTAGAGTTGAATTTTATTAACATTGCCTAAAATGCTTTTTCTATATCAGTACCTAATTTTTCTCAGATTTATGCCATGGGTGAAAGGTAATGTACACACTTATGTGATCTACACAAACTGGATTTTTGTGTTTGCTAGATGTAAAGTGTGCACTCTGTGCTTTCTCTCCACTGGTTAGTTTCTTGATGTCAGGACTGTATTGATTTCTGTTCCTCTTCTCTAATGCTTTTTTTTATCTCCCACAAGTCTCTTTTCTCTTTTTTTGCTGCATGTTTCTTTTTTCCTTCCCCCAAATCACTCAACACCACTATCAGTTTGTTCAAAGGGTCATACACACCCACAAATGGAAAAGAACACACGTACACGAGCATTTCCCGCTTTTCTGAACAAACGTTAGTTTTCAAGGGCCAATGGGAGTTCACTGGAACATTGCTAAGCTACGTGGTAATACATCACCAGTGGTGCTAAGAGAGAGTTACAAAAACAAAGCACTTGCTGGGAAAAAAGTTGTCAAAATGTTCTGTGAACAATTAAAGGAACTTAAATTTCTGTGGAAGCTGAAACACCAAAAATTGTGTCTGTACTGTAAATAGCAAGCTATCAAGTTCATTCAAGCATTCATTATGATACATACTAATGTAAAAATTTGAAAAAGCCTGGAGAGACCATGAAAAAAGAGAGAAGTATGAAAAACAAATGTAATAAAGATGGTGGTTGTTTCTGGTAAAAACATGAAGAGGTAGTGGAATTAATAAGGTCCAAATTAAAAGAATTATTTTGGCAAATAATTTTTTGTTTTAACTGGCAACTAGCTCACAGTTATGTCCTAATATTCTAAATACCTATTAACAGCATAACAGACTTTTTACTAGATTTGGTTTCTTTTCTCTCCTGAATTTCTTTTGACCCATGGATTGCCACAGCAATATTGAACCACACAAATCACTGCTGTAGTGCAAAGATATGATCTGCAGGATACAGTGTTTTTTTATGCACACTCACTGTCTACATCTGAGGGTGCATATTATTTTTGTCTGTCTCTTGTTGTCTCATAATCTGTTGTTCCTCCTCTTCCTGCCTTTTGTTGCATCCCCTCCAGCCTAATCACTTCTCCTCGTCTTGACTCTTCTTCTGTTCTTTTTCCCTTCTTCTTCTCCTGTCCACATGGCTAGTAGTCTGCGTATGACAAGCATATGCTTACCCTGCGAATACTATATGCCTTTTAAAATTTTTTGCATCCTTTATCTTTAGCCAAACAGATATACAAGAATTCAGCACTTGTTCCAGTCACATATTTTAGCATTCTTGCAGTTTTCTCATGAAGTTTTCTAATATATCAACTTGTCAGAATGATTCATATCATTTAATTTGTGAAACATGCAGCTGTTCACGCTATGCTATTGTAAGGTTTTTCATGATGACTGAGCTAACTTGAAATGATTTCATGCAAGCTTTAATCAACTGCACAAAAAGTGTCTGCCAGACAGAGATGAAACATTCACAGAAATTATGTTTTCATATGCACATTTACACTGTGTGTTGTAACCTAAGATTCTTGTGCTAATGAACTGTACATGTACTCGTACATTCATACACTGTGAGTCTTTTTTTAGCTTTTTAGTTTAGTTTGGTTAACTAGAAACTGCACATCATTGGGTTTTTTTAATGTAACAGCAGGTTCCAGTTGATGCAATCCTTTCAGTTGAACCATGAACTAAATGTCATTTCTTTCTTTCAGTAACTCATTACTTTTTTCTGTATTATCTTTTCTCCACTCATCTGTTCTGCTCTGTCACCTTGCGTTACCTCGCCTCCACGCAGTCTCTGGGAAGAGAAGCAATATCTGGAGAAATACAATGCGACTCAGCCAGAAGCTGCTGTAAGTTCATCATTGCATCATCCTGGTGCTAGTTTCATAGGTGCAAGTTATGTCTTCAGAGAGGATAAATATGAGTTTTACATCAAGCCTCCATCCCAGCTTAATCCCTAAATATAAAGACATCCTTTATTGGTCCATTTTAAATGATATAAAGCTGAAACAAATGAATTTCCCATTAAGACAAAAGGATGGTATAAAAGTTGAACAAGCTTTAATTTTTGTCACAGATGGTTGCAGGTTTTTAGCTTTTCTTTAAGCAGGCAAATCAAGTTAGTAATGGAAGGTAATCATATAAATATAACCGTATTAATGCAATGTAATATTGCCAACACCACATTCTAATAGACATGATTATCTGCATGTTATATTAAAAGCCACTAATATACAGTGAAAGTAAGTAAATTAAGTAATTCTTAGAATTTATTATCTACTTGATGCTGTGTGATTCCTACATGATCAGAAGTTAACTGCAATGTAGTGAGCATTTCCCACACTGGAAAGACATGCTCTGCATTGGATGGTCAGACAAATCTGCGGTAACCAATATTCATCAGCACAAAACACTCAGCAAACAGAGGTACAAGAATATGAGAGTCTTTCGAAGGTTAGCCGTAGCACTTTGAAGAACTTGTTCCATGCTTTTGCATTGAAGATACAGAGAATTTTGGTTCAATTATGCAACTACTGTTTAACCACTGATTGCAACAACAAAATAAATGTGCTAGAACTATGCTTTCATGCATTTGGCTGGAATCATTTCTGCAGCAGTCAAAAACCAGTTCTTTTGAGATGTGTCCATGTATTCATGCTTTGGATAACATACTGTAGAAGTTTATTATTAAAGGTGAACTCTGGAAAGAGATTTTCAGTAAAATAACTGCAGAACAAGTGACATATTGTATGTCATTTTGCTAATCTAAAAGGGGCCCATATAGCAGTAAGACAGTTGCTTGCAGCATTTTGACAGTTTATGTGCGTATGTGTTAAAGGGCCTTTTATGACTGCCTTTCCCATTGTTATTGAAACAATGTGTGCCATATTGGACTAACAGCATCAAGTGTGATATTAAATCTAATGAACCACTTAACGGCCCTTGTGGGAGTTTGCATTCTTTTCTCTCTGTCTCACACAAACACATACACACATACTTGTCAAATATGATTAATGATGCATGTCATCACTGAGACCTCACATTTGTATTTTGTTCTGCTGTGTGATATAGTAGAACACAAACTACCTTTATCAAATTGAATTGATAACAGCTGGCTCTTGCAAAGCTAATTAATTCAGCTTTTTTCATTTTTGCAGTCTGAGCTTAAAGAAATTGTCATAAAAATCTTCACATGTGATCTAATGTTCATATTGTTGGTGGGGCCTCCAGGAGGTAGGGAGCAGAACACAGACCCTGCATGACAAATATGAGGATCTGAGGGCAGAGGTGACCCAGAGACAATTAGAAGTCAGGTACTTCATTACTAAGCTTTTGAGTTTTATCATCCCATTTGTGTGACATTTTGTGTTTCCATGCTTTCATTATACTGTCTTTAAGTCTTTTAATTTTTTTCTGTGCTTTTATGTCTTGAAGCATTGCGGATGAATCTTTTAAATGCTGTTAATCGCCCTTTTTAAAGATAAATGTACTTCTTTGTGTATCGTTTTCTCACACTCGGCACAGAATTCTAATGGAAGATGTGGAAACCCAAGAAATGCAGATTTTGAGAGAACAAAAAGAGCTGGAGGACCAGAAGGAGATCATAAAGTTCAAAGAGGTCTGTGTAGGCATAGCCTACAGCACACTGTCGTTAGGATAACATAGCATCTGCCTTTTTACATTTGTGTGAGTATATGTGTCTGTGTGTGTTAAAGGCTGAGAAAGCCCATCTTATCAGCATGCCTGACCAGATTATAAAGGAGGCTGAAAGGAAGCGCACTAAGAGGGCGTAAGTATATTTCACCCCTCAATATTCTTTCAAACACTAGGAACAAAAATCACCAAGTTAGGGTGCTTTGGTGAGAGAACACAGCGAAGAAGTGACAGCAGAAACATCTTTTGATTTCCACAGTTTTTTATTATAATCTCTCTCCTTTGCTCTATCTATAGTTCTTGCACACAAATGAACTGGATTTAGAGGAATGGCATCCGAATAATCATACTGTAGGTTGTATAATAGAGCACTAGCTCTACTAAATGTTTTTTCTCAGTGTCAACATTTGATTGGGCCTGATATGGACAAAAACACAGAATCTCTGTGAAATAGAAGACAAATATCAGTTTTCTTATATTTTTTTTTCCTGGATTTCTGTCAGAAATTTCTTTCTTCTTTCTTTCACTCCTTTTGTGTTGCACTCCTTTTGTAGACTTTGCAAGACACACTTTACTTCAAATAGGGAACTGAAAAACAAGATATTATTTGTAGTAATAGTCAAATTATTTTCAAAAATTTGAAGGTGTCAGTTCTTCTAATTTAATAACCTCATGCATCAGGCATCATTAATTTCATTTTTCAGTGCAGCTGCAGTCAAAAGCCCCTTCATCACCAGAGAACAGTTCTACCTTCAGCTTCACTGCAGTCTTTTATGTTGATTTTAAATTAATATGTGGCTTGCAAGTGATGCAGTGGAAGCACCCGAATGAGCTGTGTGAGCTACAACTCTAATTTAAGATTCACAAAGCTGGGTGGTAATGGGGGTTGCACATGTTATTTCATAAGATACGCACTCTCACAGGGCTAGCAGAGAGAATTAACAGATATTTTTCTCTTGGTCTTACTCCCTGTGTGTTTCAAAATTTCTGTTATCTGTACAAATATTTCAGGGCTGCAGTGAAGGAGATGGGTGCACTAAATAGAGAGATTTCAGAAATGAAGCAACAAGTGAAGGAGGTGGAAGAGCATAACCACTCCCTCAAGCTGAAGAAGAAAGCGGTGATGGAGGAGCTGGAGGATCTCCGTGCCCAAGCAGAGGCCAGCCACGAGGAGCGCAGGCAGCTGCTGAAAAAGCAAGATGTTATCAGGGAGCAGGAGGCTGAACTAATGGGGAACAGGTACAGAACTGCTGATATAGTCATTATCAAAACATGAAAACTCAGGTTTGGGCACTTGCAAGAAAAAGGTGATTTCATGAAGTAAATATGATAGAAATACAGTATTTGTTGTGGGAGGCTTTTATTATGTATTCACTCATGTTGGGTGTTTTTCCTCACCAGAGGTATCCTGGAAATGAAGTTACGGAACGTTATGCTTGACAGAAAGCACCTGTTTGAGAGCCAGGCTGTTCGGTTCAGGGAGAAGAATAGGTACAGAATGGTGTCAAACTGAGCTTCATCACAAATGTACACAAGTCTCTAAATATCAATAAATCTACAAAATTGCACTGTAGTGTATATAAGGGCTTGACATTCTGCCAGAGAGCTTGTGGTTTTTACAGCTTGATCACTAACAAATATTACTCTTGTTAGCTTGTTGCTGTGCTCTTCAGTATGTAGATGCAGTTTCTCTTTGGTATTTTGTTAAACTAAACCTAGCTCTAAAAAATAAATTCACAAAAGTCTTGTACCGTTCACAAAGTTCAATCTTTAGCTGCATTCCAAAACCAGCTGAAATCCTTCATTTTTGACAGGCATGTTTAGCTGAAAAGTGTAGGAGGCATAACCTTATGATGATGATAAATATTTAAAGGTGCTGTCTTTCTCCTCAGGCAGATGCAAGCCCTCAAAAGGATGGAGCATGCACTGACCGTGGCTACTGAGCAGCTACAACAAACACAGTCTATCTACAATGTGTTACAAGCACAGGTGACCAGTGGATTTTCAATATGCACAGTAGAAACAGCTGCTCAAATCTGAAGCAATCGCAGTGTTTATGAGTGGCATTGTAATTTTCATTTTTATCTATTTTGCATCTGATTGCCTTTGTTATAGTTTCCTGAAAGGCACTTAAATTATGTAAAACTACACAATTTACAGCTACAGTTGCAGCTTGGAAACTATCATATTCAAACCTTTCATGTACTTATTGTAGATGTAATGCTTATGGTTTGGAAAATTTTCCAGGCTTTAACACAGGTGTGGGAACATGTGGGGTGTGACTGTCGTGATGCCAGCAATCAACTCATGAAATTGTAACAACAGAAGCATGTTATTATTTTGTGCTTCCTGTAATTTTACTGATGTTCACAGTTTTTAGAGAGAAAGAAAAAGAGAGTTAGAGTCATAGGAAACATGTCAGCACATCTCACAAGCATGAAACAATATGAAAGGAAATCATCACTGACACATCAGGGAGTTCGCACATTTAGGAAATATTGAAAGCTAAGCATCTGTACAAGAGGATTCACACATTTCCAACGACTCTCACACAAACTTATTACTCATAGTAAATTGACTGTGAAGGTTGGTGAGGATTCAAGAGCCAGTGGGTTCTAAACTTCACAAAGCTAATAATTACAGTATTTAGTGCCTTGTGCATGTAGTTGAAATGAAGTTTATGCTGCATTGTCTTTTTAAAACCCTTAAACCTTCGTTTTTCCAGGGACCAACCATTTTTATATATGGTGCAGTGTAGCTCATCAATTATCACTGAACACAAGGCCTGGCAACTCTACAGAGAGGGGCAATCGCAACGCCTGAAGCATTCATGTTTCATTGAACATTTTCAGTGTCACTGGATCCAAAGGCTATCACAGAGACCTCAAGGAAACTGATATATAGTATTAATTAATTTCACTGTCAGTGTTTAATATGGAAATATCTATTGACTGAATTTGCAATGAATTTTAATAATCTTTGTACTGGAGCCTCCTGGTCTTCTCTTCCTCAGTACATAAAGTTTAATGGACTATGGCCAGGGAAAACAATTGATAATAATATGTTTACTGCCATTTTCTCAGATTCAGGAGGGACTGCAGCAGATGTAACATCTCCTTGCACACTGTAAATCTGAACAGACTTTTAATTTTGAATTTATGTTCTTGAATTTCTAGTTAGATGCTGTTCCAAAAAGAGAGGGTAATATTCAGCAGAGGATGGAGCTTCAGAAAGAAGTTGACACACACAAAGTCTGCTTTGAAAAACAGGTGGGAACAATGTGTGTGGGTGAAGAGTAGCAACTGTAAAATGTAATGCAAGCTACTGGAGTAGCCGTAACATGTCTGTATTTGAGGAGCATGTAAGTACTTTTTTGTTGAAACTAATATAGCAAAGTGTGATTCAACTGTAGCAGAACTTGTTCACCAGCATTTAGGTTCTCTTTAGCAGTTTAAGTTCTTTTGGTATTTTCCACTTTGTAGTGTCTTTATCTTCAGGTTAGCAGACAAAATGAGATTTCTTAGTGCATAATTTTTTCACTTAACAGTATGTCATACATACAGTATGTCAACTTTAAAAATTCCTTTGGGGAGAAGTGTGTACCTGGCTTCACTATACACCCTGTATTGTTTTCATATTAAGGAACTTGTTGTCCACTTTGCTGTCCCATTCTGCTGTCATTATCCCTTCAATTTCATCAAAATTGAGTCATGAGAGTTTTCATTTGAGAACATCCTTAATTGTGTTCCCAACCAGTTATCAATAGCCAAGGAGAAAAGCCAGAAGAAGCAGCAGTATGAAATGATTCAAGAGCTGCTGAAGGAGTCAAACCGCCTCAGAGAAGAACTCCATAACCTCAGATGTCTGACACAGATCAAAGCAGAGGAGAGGGGACAGAAGCACCGTGAACTGCTTAGAGCAGAGGTGTAACACAAACTCACACCCACAGAGCATACGCAGACATAGATGTACATATTTCACGTGTGTAAATATGCATTCAGAGGAACTAAAGGTTTTGATTTTAGGCACATTGGATCTTAGTGTGATAGTAGAGCAACTAAAAATAAATTCTGTAATTGCAGATGTCAAGACAGTGTGGTAATTTCAGAATAATTTGAAAAAATATAGAGATGCTGGAGTGACCGTAATAAATGGTTCTGTACTCCCTTTTTCACGTTGGTTCCAGGAGGCTCTTTCTTTTCATAAAAATACTGTTATACTATATTACTTGACACTACAGATTAATCAGTTCTTCAGCCTCAATAATAAGTAATGAACGTCCGAGTCAACAATGACCAGCTCCAAAAGGAATAAATATACTCAGAAAACCTGTGAGATTATTTTTTGTTGTTGTTGTTGTTGTTGTGTTCAAAGCGTAAGAAGAAAAGCTGCTACAATATTGAAAAATGTTTGGTTGATATTTGAGAGTACACACACACACACTTAAAGACACCCACACAGAAGTGATACTGCTGTATTTTTACGTACCCACAGCAACTGAACCAGCACATCCAGTATGAGCTGTGGGAAAAAGACCTGATCATCATGGACCTCAACAAGATGAACACTATGCTGCAGCGCAGGTGTCTCTGTTGTTTCTCTTTCCTTCATCAGCTTTCTTTCATTAAACACAAAGATGTGTGTCATGATAAAGAGGATTTTGGTTACAGAGAAGCTACTAAGCTGTTAATGGGTAGTATTACCCTCTGTCACTGTCTTCATGTCATACTGTCTGTCTTACTTCCTCTCTTTTGCCTTATATGCACCAGCATGAATTGTGTTCCTGCATCCAGGGTCAACTACTACTGTAGCAGTACAACATCTCCTTTGAGCAGCGAATTGAATTCCTATACACACAAGTGTATATTGATAGGACCAGTTTGACAACCAATAATTGATTCCCTGGTTATTTGTTTGGCTCATCTAATTTGTGTAACAGTAGGGATCACAATTAATTCCAACATTTGTATGTGTCATCTGGGTAGAAAACTATAAATGATTAATTGGTCTTACCTCGGTGATCAATGATGCATCTGGTTTCACCTGCTACCACAGCAGACTCTTAAAATACATTCAGTTAGGTCACAACCACAGATTACAGTCTGATGTTACTGCATTTGATTGCACATAGCTGAGCAGAAATAGAACAGAATGATAATTAAATGCTGTGTATCCTCTTTGAAAGCCATATTTACTGATCATTGTTCACAATTCATGCCTAATATGGATAAGTGAATGTCACACCACACGAGACTTTAGATCTGTCTTAATTTTTTGATTCACTGATTGCGACCAATCTAACATTTTACCAGTGTTATCATACCTTAGTTAGTATTTTAACACTTTAATATTAAGTGATAAAGCTAAAGCCATGATGACTGTGAAATAATATTTTGGCTTTATTGACAAATTTCAAGCACACCTAGAACTCAAGTTCAGAAACGCAGATATTCATATCTGGGTATTTCATATCAGTTGGGCATGCCATTGACAACTGTCATTGGCTATGGACATAAATAGTACAGTAACTAGCAAGATGCTAAAGAAAGAGTGTAAACTTGATTGTTTTATAGCTATATTCCCCCGCAGAATATCACAGTATTCTAAATTGTCCAACATGATAATGGAAGAGAGGAATAAGTATGTCAATCTGAAGGAGATTGCCTCCCAGACAATCACCGAGTTGATGGAACAGCTTAAAGTCCTGGAAAATGAGGCAGAGATCCAACAGACCATTGTCATCAACAAGGACAGGTGTGTTCATATGTTTTGTAGAGGACAGGCTGGTGGTTATTGTATGTACAGTAAAATAATATGCTGGGACTTGCATAATAAATATTGTAATAGCATGGTAGTGTTCAAATTTGCTTAGATTGTGCATTTATGTTCAACCAGTGCTTATCTTGGTAATCATCAGTGAAGCTATATCTGCACCTCTGTTATTTTGTGCAGTGTAATACTGTATGTCTGGTATGTTTCTTTATGTGTGTGCATTTATATGTGTCCAACCCAGGTCACTCACAAAGGCTCATATGAAGATCTCTAGTAGTTCCAAAATGAAGGACAAACTGCGCAATGACATCTGCAAGGTTTAGGCACATACATGCACACAAACCCAGAGATGAGACTAGTCAAAACACACTGTGGCTTCTTTGCAACAAGCCAGTATCACATATTTAGCCATTTAAATAAACAGATTACATATGTTGCAAAGAATGACTTGATTCACAGGCCCACAGTTTAACAGAGTCAAAGCTGCAGTTGAGTTATTTTGACTGAGTCTTTAAACCTTGTATTAGACATCTGTAGAATCAGTCTAGTTTTGTGTTTCATATGACACATAAGAGTACTGTTCAGTTTGTGTTGTCTACTTTAAAAGATGCCTCTTAACAATGACTCCAGTACAGAATAGAATAACAAGTTATGTTTATATGTTGTCCAAAAGTCTTTCAGAAATTTGAATTATTATTATTATTATTATTATTTTATTTTTTTTACCATTTGTGTTGTGTTTCAGTCAACTGTTTGCAGTTCAGTCAGTCAGACTAAAGTCCAAAAGTATCCCTACAGTCCATTAACACTCTGCATTCTTATAGGGCTAAAAATATATATCACTTTTTTTTTTTTATCTTGACACCTTCTAGGTGGGGTGGAATCAGTGTCAGATCAGTCAGCAGTATGAGGACAACAAACTGGAGTTGATAAAACTCACAAAAATGATCAGCCTCCAGGAGCAGAGGCTTGTGGAAGTGAACAAGAATCATGAAACTGCCACACAGCGCCGCAATTTTCTGTACATTCACATTTTGTAGCTTTATAAATATTGCCTAAAGTAGAGGGTTTAACTACATATGAGAAATAATGTTTGCACTTTTCTCTGTGTGTGTGTGTCACCTACAGTGGCATTCAACTGCTGGAACATGAGGAGGTGTTGTTCAACTACTATGACAAGGTGAACATCCAAGAGGCGGCCATTACAAAGGTCAACATGGCATTAGACGCACTAGAAAAGGAGATTCCAGACTTGCAGTTAGCCATTAATGAGGAGAGGAGACAGATAGACCTGAAGAAGAAGGAGGTGCCTCTCAAGAGAAAGCTGGAGGGAGATATCACCATGCTCCATATAGAGGTAGGAAAAATATGCCTTTACTCTAAATTAACATGAACCTACACACTCAAACTGTACATCCTTACACAGACATTAGCAAATACCCAGCCAAAGGTTTAGTCTCATTTCTCAGTAGCTTTCAACATCCAATATTCCTCATAATCTGGCATTTATTATTGCTTAATAATATTAAGAGTCTATATTGTTATAGTACATCAACACAAAGAACTACAACAAAAAGTAATCCCACCACTCTTTTATAACAGCAAACTAATTACTTGAAAAACGTGGGTGGAAAGATGTGTCTTTACTTGCTGAAATGCTTAAAGTTGTGCTTTCTGTTGTGTAAACAGTGATGACAGTGTCTCAGTGACAGTTTCCCAACTCCTACGTTTCCTTTGTCTTTTCCCATTCCTTGGCAACAAGAAATGAAAACATTTGTTTTTAATGTTTTTATAAACTAGTATGGAGTATGCTTTGGATAGAGCTAAGTGTATAGTTCCCAAAAGTTGCAGAGTTAGTTAGAGTGGGCGGCATGGTGGTTAGCACTGTCGCCTCCCAGCAGGAAGGTTCTGGGTTCGAGCCCTGTGCCTTCATGGGTTTTCTCCGGGTACTCCTGCTTTCTCCCACACGCCAATGGCATTTGCTTAGGTTGATCAGCAGCCCGCAGGAGTGAATGTGTGTGGTTGTTTGTCTACATGTTAGCCCTGTGATAGCCTGGCAACCTCTCCAAGGTGTACCCTGCCTCTTGCATAATGGATAGTATTAGGGCCTCTGTGAGGTATAATATAGTCTTGAGTGAGCATTGCAGTTGTTTTCTGTAGCAGCCCTACTATTTCCTTAGTAACTTTGTTAATATAGCTATTAATTTGGGTAGATTGTGCCTATAATTTACTGCTGTCTACAATTCCTCCTTCATGCATGACTACAACAGGATATGATTTAGCTTCTTGGTTGCAAAGTCCTCTCTGTAAGCTGTTAGGCCTGTTCTGTAGTGCCTTCTGGGGTGATTATATGATTAGCCATGCACTGAAAGACAGACTTTTCCTTCTGAGTCTTCTGACAAATTATATGTGTGTATGCATGCCCATGCCTGTAAGCTGGAGACTTTATTCAGCAGTGCCTCAGGCCATCGTCCAGCTAGAAATGAAAAAATAATTTTAGACATTAATGTGAGTTTTGTGATGTCAGTGGAGAATTCTCATAGATGACTGTGAGTACATGTGACCTGTATGTGTCTAGGGTGCTGCAGACTATTGTTCAGTTTTATTCATATCTGTCAAGTTAGGGGAACTCCAAAAAGAACAGTTAAGTACAAGCTCCAGAAGACAATACTCAGAATAGTTCAGACACTAAGAGCATCACTAATGGGCAGATTTGTGCTTTTGATATATTTTCAAAACTTCATCTTATAATGAGATTTCTCCACTATGAGCTCAAAATAAAACAACTAAAAACATGCAAAAACACATCCTTCTCTAAGAGAGAGACTTTTAGAAAGACAGCATAAGAGTTGTTTAATATTTGTAGGGGGCCATTGTTTGTTTTTTCAGGTCATATACCATTACTGAAAATCTGTAAGTTGTCTTGCATCACTCATCAGAAGTGTTCAATTTATAGCCTTGTTTTCAGAGCTGATCCCCTCATGTCATTGTGATGAGGTGATCCAACAGTATTTGCAAATCCCCAGAAGCTGGAACAGAGGCAGAATAGTGCTTTTGCTCACTGAACTCTAAAAACCAACATACAGAAAAAAAGACCAAAAGGGGCAAACATAAAAAACACACACACTACGCAAATTTCACAGAGGCAGACTGAGACACATGAATAAATAACAAAAACACCAACATATTCAAGCAAATTTGCAATGCTTAGAGAACAACAGACACATAGAAGGAGAGAGGTTTTCTAGAAGCGCACACACAATGGGTTTCCCTGCCAGTGGCGACATCATGGGACTGGGTGTGTTCCTGCTCTGGATCAGTGACTGGGTTTGACTTGCTGCTGGGCCAGACTTCTCTCATCTGAGGCTTGTGCTCTTTTGGATGAACATGGTGTTGGAACAGACTTCACCATGTGCTGCTTTTTTGAAAACCACCCCTTTCCCTTTCATCCATCTGTTTACTCCTTCTGTTGTTTATCATTTGCTACAACAGGCCTCATTGCTGCTGTCTATTTTCTTTCACTTTTATTTTCCATTGTTTCTCTCATCAGGAGTTTCTTTACCCATTCCCTTCTCACTCCACCCTTTCTGTAACTATTCCACAAAGGAATTTGTAAGGTTTTTGTTTCATTGGAAGTAACTTAATTTGCATTTGGCTATACATACAGTAGATTTATTTCTCCTGTCCTGTCCTGCCTCACTAGTGTCATGGCTCAAAGGATGGTGATGGTGACACTATTTGGTTGGTCGGTCTGCCATTTTGGTCCAGACTGATGAATTGCCATGAAACTTTGTACAGACATTGATGGTGCCCAAACAATAAATCCTAACCCTTAATCTGGGTGACCCCCTGACTTGGTCTTTAATGCTACCATGAGGTTGTGTGAAATATCTCAAAAACAATTAAATGAATTACTTAGAAATTTGGTATAGGTTATGTTTCTATCAGGAACATCATGTCAATATATGGAATTGGCTCTTAGGTTTATGACCAAACAAAAATGACATTCTCATTTGCCTCAGCTGTACTAAATGCCAGTTAGCAAATGTTAACATGCTAAATCATGATGGCAAACATGCTATGGAACAAGCAATGTCATAGGGCTGTCACTTTTTTCAAAAAGTCAAGTTAAAAAGTTTCATTCCAGTTGATTCAAACTGGACTCAAGAAATGTCCCTTTATTAGTGGTCAGAGAGAGTGTCTTACCCTTCATAAGAGTCTACACTGTGTATCTTTCAATGTGGTGTCATACAACTCAGCTGCATGGCCTTGAATACAAATCTTGATATTTTATTGGTGATGGCCTTTGCCTTTACAGCCTTCTGGCAGGGGTCCTGAGGATGAGTAGTGAGAGTGCAGTGCCACTCGATCTTTGTTGGTAATTTTGCCATCTATAGTGGACAGCCCTTACTAGTGTCCACCTCCATTTTATTTATTAGCTTAGTTTACTCATAGGTCATACATAGGTCAAACACTGTCTGCTGGATCACAGTGGACTTCAAATGCACAGACTGTAAATTTGAAGACATTATTTTCAATATTTTCTTTCCTATGCTCATGCAAAAGTTAAAATTTTGAATAAAACATGATAGCCATAGTTTGTTAACATTTGTCATTGTGAGCATAGTAACATGCAGACATCTGCATTTTGCCAAAAACATCACTGTGCCAAAGTACAGCCTCACAGTTGCTAACATTTCTGCAGTTTTGTTTGGCTACACATACAATTCCTGAAACTTTCAGCAGTTACATTCCTGATTAGCGTATCAGTCCATCAGTCTGCTCATCTATCCATCCAAGCCATCCAGTCATATAATGCCCTCTCCTCTGTGAGTAAATAGAAAATCATTTTCTAAATCGCTGTTTTCACTTGTACAGCCGTCTATCTCCCTTGGGTACAAAACGTGAATAACAGGGGTCCCTCCTACTGCAGGAGGCTTGCCAGCTCAATTCATTCTCCCTTTGAATTCATTCTGTATGCGAATTCAATCTCCCTGCAACTGCCCTGCTGTCGATTTATCATATATATTGTGTATTTGTATTCATCTGTAACCAGTTTATCTGTTCATTGCAGACAGACCCCCCCTCCCTTTGATGGGAAATTTTGACAATGATAGATTGGGCCATCTGTGAGACTATTGAAGTTCAATATACTTTGAGGCTTTCATTTGCTCTGAGGAATTTTAATTGCTGCAAAATAAACACAGGTTGCTGTTGGATTCTGAATTTACTACTTGTTTATGAGCTGCCGGCAGATCAGCATCTCAAACACACACAGGTGCACATGTAACAGTGAAGTTGTTGCAGCAATATTCAGATATTGCTGAACAGACCTGTAGCTAGCTACACATACAAAGTCATGTTCATGTATAGTACTACAAACTCACAGACAGAGACGTCTCTGTCTTATAGAACATAGGCCCAGTCAGTGATGGAGTGAGAACAGGGTGGTGCTAATGACAAACTGCACTGCCCCTATGGTGATTAGCCATACTGTTTGTCTGTTCCTTTCTTAAATCATTGTTAAACCTTTCTTGAACTTATGACCATTGGGAAACCCATCATGATTTGTAGTCTTGAAATGTGGACGGTTATGTACGTTGTTTTTGAGAGACTGTATATTTCAGTAAGCATCACATAAATAATATATTTCAGCAAATAATATCCAGTTATTTTTTTACATCATGTAGGGTCTGGCTGGCCCCTGGTTATCTTTCTTTTAATGTCTTATGAGATGTGATGTAACCTGAGGTCAGGCAGGCAGGAACCTTTCCTTATAACTATTCCTGTTTGATACTGAAAAGAGAGGCCTTTTGTTGTTAGAGGCTTCAAGGCTGTGGAATGATTTGCCCATGCAGTTTAGCTTGTCAGAGTCAGAATCGTCCTTCAAATCTCAAAACACACATGCAGTACTTCCCATAAAGTCTGTTATACCCCTGAATTTTGAATATTTTTGTCACAATTGCCTTATCTGGCATTATGTTTAGTATGTCTACCTTTCTTTCATGTTCTAATATAATAGGATGGTTGCTTGTATGATGAAAAACGTGTTTACAAGGTTATGAATGAGCTTTCTTCCGTCATTTTAACGCCACTAAAATTCACTGTGCTGCAGCGAAACCAGCTGCTCATTTGGGATTTCTGTCAGACTTAACCAGTGTAATCATTTAATTAAGAAAATGTATGTTTTTAATATTCTCATGGAGAAGCCAAGTTCAAAATGTATCTATAATGTTTGGATGTTTTCATTGAGGACATCCAAAAAACGTCCGTTCAGCTCCTCTGTTCTTATGTTCTGCTAATTAACCTTCCATAATCTTATTATGATTTTACTGCCGTTTTACTTTATTGTTCTTT